GACACTGAAAATAGAGAGATTAGGGCTCCTAGTTGGCAGAAAAAACATATTTCAAAAACAAAAAAGTCATGAAAATAAGAAACTAAATTAATGTGATACAGTAATAGTGCAACAAGTTACATGCATTTTGGATTTTAAGAAAAAAACAAATCAGAGCACACTTACAAGGAAGAGAGATATGGCAAGTCAAGTCAAGTCACACTGGCCACCAAAAGGACACCAATTTGAAAATGCTTCTTTCCCTCCTTCCTCAAAAAAGAAAGAAAAGCGATCACTTTTACACTGAATTAGGAAGCCTCACAAAGAAAGTGTCATATAGCAGTAGCAGATGTGTTTATAAAACATCAAAATGGAAGTGTATTTCTAGAACTTCTGAACTGACTGTGGTTTTGCTCAAAAAAAGTAAGCACAACTTTTTTTTTAGCCTACTCAAATCATCTAATTATATAACTCATTTCCTTGAAGATGCTGGCAGTTCTCCTCTAAAAAGAGCTCTAATGGGACACTTAAACGTCCAATGGACCAGTGAATCAGCTGAAGACATTGGAGCTTTCATAGGTGTGCCAAAATAATCAGTTACAGGGCATGTATTTAAAATCAGGGATATGAAGCTTAAAGCTTTATAAATTAGGCATTATTTTAAGTGCTCAAAGAATTTTGAACATGAGGYTCAATTGCACAAAAATTATTATATTAAAATTATTATATTAATTTTCATGAAAAATCCTATCAATAGAGTTAAAAAAAATGGACAGCTGAATAACTGCTTTGCAAGATCAAGTAAGAAACATGCAATCCACACACACTAGAAATAAGGACAGTGATATGATATTAGTAGTGTGTTTTCCTAAGAAGTATAAGAGAACAAAAATCTTCTTTGGTGATTTTCATCAACTTTCCTTCTTAAATAATATTAATGATACAGTATTACTATACTTTTTTTTTTCTTTTTTGCATTAAAATTACCTGACCTGTTATAGGTAGGTAAGTTTAAGACCCACAGAAGAGAACCATCACCCAAAACCAAATTCTCCTGCTATGGAAGATTGGTCTGATCCCAGCACCTGCACTGCTCTGCCCACAGAGTTAGACTCTACATTTTCACTTGCAACACTGCAAATTAAAATAAATAAATAGAGTGCTGAACAGTGCCAAATTACGAAATGGCTTTATGCTACAGACAGATGGTCACTAGCATGGCACTGATGTCATTCTTTCCTCTTTAAAGTGCTATTCCAAACTGTGCAGAAATCAAACACTACCACCCCATAATGACCTGCTTGGTCACAGGGAGCGACCTAGAACAAACACAACGCTGATTACTACAGAGCTGTGCCCTTCACTGGAAACTCACTGCTCAGTGAGAAGCATCACAGATAAACAGTAATCACAGATTCAAGGATGAACAACAGGTATATCTCTGATTTGCAGAAATACCGGGACTCTTATTAGCCTTAGATACGTATTGTCATCATGTGCTTATTGGGCTGCTAAGGTTAGTAAATATTAGCCCACACAACTTTACAACTTTATCAGATACATTCACTTACATACTTATAAACAAGCTTTTGGCAAAGTAGTTGCACCATGCATAGTGAGCTTATGCCAGCAAGACTAAGTTTATTATATTCATATATTACAATAAATATTTAAACATTATTTGTTACATTTGCACAAAGTTATCTGCTCATATTCTGAAAGGGTAACCATCAAGATACCTAGTTCAAAATCAAGTTGCCAATTCCAGCCTTATCTAAACTTATATAACTCATTATTAACCATGGTTCAGAGATAAAGTACTACCAGCCCAAGAAGCCCTTGCATTTTTGTTACCACTGAAGACATACAGCCAATGTTTTTAACACTGTGTGACTAACACCTGCCCAGAGCAAGATGAAACAACTTTCTATGGAAAAACAGCACAGGAACTAATGTAAGTTCCTGTGAATGACTGACAGTAGTAAACAGATACTACAATAAAAAGAGTTAAGAAAAAAGAACAAAAAAAAAAGTTTATTAACAGCTGAAAGAACACAAATGAAAATTAACTGCCTTAACACCTATTTTTCATGGCTTAGAACTTACCAGTTTGGTAAGAGACTGATAAAAACTTCTGAACTAATACACCTTCCTCCTCTCTTTCTCTTCTGCAGCTACAAGTTTTTCATTTAGCACACGGCAAGATGCTTTCCCTTCTGAAAACAGCCCGTTTCACAGAAAGAGCGAGCAGGCAGCTGGTGCTAATTTTACGAGGGTTATCGCGGCGGTGGCCGGCTCCCGCAAGCCGAGCTCCCCCACCACTACACCACACTAACCCAGCAGCCCCACCGGAACGCGGCAGGAGCCTGCCCTCCCCGCACCTGCCGTCCCTCAGGGAACACGAGGGAGGCCGGGCCAGGCCGGGCTTCCCCCGCGCTCTCCCAGGCCGCGCTCCCGGCTCTGCCCCCACCTGTGACGCCTCGCGGCGGGGGCGCTAACGGCCGCGCGGAGCCGTTAACGGTCTCGCCCCCACGTGACCGCAGCAAACGCTCCCCCCACCCTCCCCTACTCACCCTGCGCGGCGCGGGCCGGATCAGCTGATTCAGGCGCGCGCGGGGCGGGGCCAAAGCGCCGCAGCCGCGAGGGCTGGGCCGACGGGTGCCGCGCGGGGACAAGAGAGGCCGAACGCGCGGGCTGCGCTTCGGGCGGGAAGCATCCCGGGTTCCGAGGCAGCCCGCGCCGGACTCCGGCTCGAGGCTGCCTCTGGAAGGGGAAAGCGGGAGAATAAGYGGGAGCGGGGCCAGACCGCGCTCTGTACAAAGGCTCCTGACAAACGTGTGTGGCTGGACAGGTCAGCCTCGTAGCACACTGACAGTCTGTTTGCCAGCAAAGCATTTACGAGCACAACATTTCCCCCGGGAATGAGGTTGTCACCCCTTCTCTGGGGCTCTGGGAAACAGGGAGTCAGACTTYGGGCCAGAGCGTGCAGAGTCAGGGGCAGAACTTGGGCTACAGCAGCAGCCTCTGTGCTCCTGGTGGTGTCCAACGAAACGCRCTGCCTGTGGGAAACACAGCACACACAATAAAGTTGCTTATTGGGCTTGCACAAGAGGGGCCACCTCTGTATTCTTGCATCACGTTTAAGACTTTGYTTAACAGACGTGATTCTGCGTAATGCCCTGCCCTTTGTGGCTATGTGAGAGAGAAGCTGTCCCTCCGCGTCCATTGYGGCTGAAGCCCCTGGAGAGCAACAGGGACTCAGCCTCTTCCTCACTTTTCCCTGATCCGCTTTATATGAGAAGAACAGAAACTGTGCCGTTAGTCACAGTGGAGCACGGGACAAAGCATCCACAGCATTTCTTTGAGAAAGAAATGATTTTGCTTAAGTGCCTGGGTTCTGTTTGTACACTTTCATGTGTCCCCACAGACAAAACTTCACAAACTGCTTAGCTGATCAGGACTCCTRCTTTTGCCCACTCCAAAACCACAGGAGCATCACAATCCACACAGAAAAATGCAACCTTTGTGCCAGTCTACTCTTGGTGAGCACTGTGACTGCAAGGGGTCACAGATTGCTGTGTTTTCCACTTTTAACTGCTGTTTAAAGCTGCAGCTGATTTTGTCACCATCGAGCAGATCTCCAGCCCTGGAGAGCAGTCCTGGCACAGGGGACAGGGACAAAACTCTGGTATCAGCCGACTCTATTCTAAACTCAGAATAACCAGGGAGGTTAGTGGACCCGCTCCACGTTCATTCCAGTGTAATTAAGATAAAGTTACAAAGTCCTTAGTGCCATTCTGGATGAAAGCAGAGAGATCCCTGAGTATGCTTACTTGCAGCATGACTTGTGTTAATGTTTGCCTTGACGCGTATTTACTGTGGTGTTTTYGCTCTGCATCATACTCCTGGCCCACCAGTACAATAAACCTTACAAGCTTTACCTACTCAGAACTAATAATGCCGTAAAGATGCTCCACCCGACAGGCTGAGCTCCTACAACTCCCTTCTCTACAGGAGGAAAAGGCAGTGAGCCTATGGAGGGTCCGGTTTAAGGAGGTGTTTTGTGCGCTGCTGATTGGCACTGGGTGCCACTGCCAGGAGCAGTGCTGGGACAGGTAGCCYGTGCCACTCTGCAAGCTCCACATGGGCACAGACACAGGCCCCAGACCCGAAATACAGCAAATGTGGCTGCAGGGCTTTCACAGCCAGATGAAATTGTTGTGGTCACAAGATACAGAGCGCTAATCCAGCAGAAATTTGCTCTGCCAGCCCAAAGCTCTTCAAACATCTTTTGTAGAGGTTGGAAAAAAAAAACAAAAAGCAGCTTTCATGCAGGAGCCGAAGTCATCCGCCCTCCCCTGGCCAGCACAAGTTGTGTACTGTGTGCTTTGGCTAACTCAGCAGGAACGCCTGCCCGTGCTTTATCTGGAGGAGATTTTTACCCCTGGGTGGTCTGACAGGGTGCTAAGCTGGTTTTAATCAGCAGGGGAGGACGAGTCTCCAGCCGCTCTGAGGCTCCTCTGTYGTGCCAGGAGCTGAACTAAACTGGGCAGCCAGGCAGGCCTGGCTTTGCTGAGCTTTGGGGTTTCGCAGCTGGGTGCGATGCGGTGGTCGCGCCAATGAGCAGGGTGATGCCAGCGCCGGTGCTCGGCAGAGCTGCGGTGACTACGGTCCCGCTCGCGGCACAGCCTGGTGTCCCGCAGCTCCCGGGCCGGGCTACAATAYGAGGGAGCTGCACAGGTCCCCCTTGCACAGAGACCACGGCTGCAGCAAGGCTTAGCACTGCGAGGTGCCCCGCGAGCCTCGCTCAAAAGCACCAGGGCTGCACAGCGGCAGYGGGGCCCCTGCACGGCCAGGCCCCCCAAACTGCATGGATACAAAACAGACACCGTGCACTCAGTCGTCTCATCTCCGGGCTCCAGAGGAAGTGACAGCGCGCTTCCACCAAGCTACAGCCATGCACTGGAATTCACTGCAGCACCTACAGCAATTTCTGCCAGCAGATTTTTGTACCTGATCCCATGAAGCTGGAAGATAAGACCCTACATACCCCGACGGTGCCCCTCTCGAGGAGTGTGGGCTCTGYGGCAGTGCCCAGCCCAGGCCTCCCACTGGGAGAAAAGGCTTCTCCTCACCTGAGGAGCTGGCACYTGGGAGCTGCTGCGTGACAGAGGCAGATTCCACCTCAGAGAGACGGGACCCCTTCCCCTTCTTCCACCGGCAGTGGGGAGCCTGATCCTCCTTTGCTTTTCCACAGCTTCTCCTCTCAAGAGTCTGAGCCATGCCAACGCGGTGCTCCATGACACCATCCAGACCAAGGAGATGCTAACCTTTGTCTTCAAGTACATGGTGTCTTTGAGTACAAAAGTGGTTCTCTTTTTCCTGTTGGGAAGAAACCAATGGCTATGTAGTGAACTTATTGCATTAGGAGACATCTACAGAGGAACAAGTTTTTATCCTTCAGTGCACTGTTGGATTCTCCTTCTTGATATCCAGCTTTCCATCCACGCAGCCTTGCTTTCTTGTTTGTTTATGCAACAGCCCTGCACAAAAGTGGTCCCACATGTTGTCCTCACCAGGATGGCAGAAGCCACCTCTGTTACTGACTTGACAAGTCAGTAGAAGCGCAGGGTTACTGAGCCACAGCAAGGCCAAGACACAGGGGTCCTCACCCACATCCAGCTAGTGCCAAGTTTGGCACTGGCAGCAGTGGTTCCCTGCAGCCAAACTACAAATTTCTCTCAAGGGGAGAGTAAGATGTCAATAAATTCTCCGTACAAATCTTCTGTAAGTTCTCTGTATGAATCTGGTTACCTTTTCTAATAGCTATCAACCACGTGATAAAGAAAATACAGGGGCTGCATATTCTTACTATAGTTTTATAATTAATTCTGTGTAAATTCTGCTATTATCTTCAGGCCACAAACTGTTACAGCGACAAGCAGGTCAGCCAGCCCCCTGCTTCTGTGTGTCCTCATATGCTGCATCAGCTCAGATGTTCACCACGATGAAAGGAAATCCCTTGTATGTAGTTGTATCTTCTTCCCCTGCCTCCTATTTGCAGGACAGGCAATACTGTACTGGTAGGAGCAATAAACGCTAGTAACTTTCCTTAAGGTGTTTTTTCAATTCTTATTTAGCACACAGGTCTAGTGCAACACATGGCCCAGCATTCTGGAGGGTCTCAGTCTCACAGTATTATGGTGAGCTCCTTAGAAGACAGGTATCTCTTAAAGCATGAGAAATACATTTCCAATTTTTTCCAATAATGACCCTTGGAAAGTCCTKCAATGCTTAAAACATCTATAAATTATTACTATTATTTATTCATTCCATATATGACAAACACTTAGAAGAAAAGCTGTCTTTGATAAAAGATGCAACAACGTCCCTTTCATTACCTCTCCAAGGCCAGTTTTCAGCTTAGGCTCCTCTTCCCATTTCCTGAGCCTGCAAGAAGACATTCTTCTTTTGTAAACAATGACGTCTTGTGGCAAGCAAATCTGTCTCTCCACAAATTYGTATTTTCTTATCACTAGGACATATTACTCATTCCTCTAAAAGTTCTCAAATCTTGCTCTCTTCTCATCTGGAACTATTTTCATATTTAGAGGTCAATTAAAACCCTTACATTTTGCAAAAGCTTTTTGGGGGATAGCTTGACTGCATCTGAGCACAGCTGAAGATGCACCATCCTTTGCAGGCTAATATTTTAATAGTCTTCTACCTTCCTCTGTAGAGGACTTCACAATTTAATTAAATATTAGGGCTTTCACTGCACGCTGATTTAGGTTTTAATGCAGATGTCCCCAGTGAGTGCCTAAATCCTTTTCTTGAGTAGCTTTGGATAATTTCTCACAGCTGTCAACAATAACTTTGTATCTTATCAGACTGTCTATTCATCTGGCTTGGTCGGTTCTCTCTGAAGTTGCTCACTGTCACTTCTTATCTGGGCTAATCTAAATACTTCCGTCATCTTCAAATGTTGCCACCTTGTTCACATCTTTTTTTCCCAAATGATCTGTTAAGCAATACCAGTTCCAGTGAAGTTTCTCAGGGCCCCAAATTTTAAACATCCTCAGCGCTCGGATGTGTCCAAGATCCCGTATTGCAGTTYTGGCACAGACCTCAAGGGCTCTGCTACCAGGCAGGCTTGTAAAGGACACTGAGTACATGACCGTAACATGTAGTCGCTGGCATTTATGTGAAGAAACACTAGCCAGCTGCTCTGCTTTTGTGTCCAAAATCCTCACTGTCAGCAGGAATTGAAGTGCAAAATGACTTACTGTGCCTTTGGGTCACGYAGCTTGCTTCACTTTTGCTGGCAAAACATTGTTTTTGTTCTCCGAGTGATTCCCACCAGCTATGATGCTATTATGCAGGATACAGCAGGGACACTTTTGTGGTAGAMAACTGACCTAGGGGTGTCACTGATTTTCCTGCTCGTCAGGTTAAACTTCTGATGGGAAATGTCTTTTCTCTGGGGAAGTCTACTTCCATTGTGTTTTGTGTTCAAACCATTATCCAATTTCATACTTTGCCCATGCTATTCCCATTTCATACTTTATAAGGAGCTTACTTATTCTTGCCGCTCTGACAGGGGTAGGTCTTKCTTACTTGCTTGCCTTCCTGCCTGCTCGCTCCAGTCATCAGCTCTCCCTTGCTTTAGCTGTTAAACTGGGGTTGTGTTTTCCCCCAGCTTGCAAGCTAACAGTTTACACTGTTGAGAGAGTTGTTTTGCTGGTCCAGCTTGCATCAGGGAGCGGATGCAGAGCAACCAAGGGACTCCCTCTTCTGGTGCTCGCCGCTTCCAAAGGGCAAGGCTTGCGGCTCCAAACCCTTCCTGCAGTCCCTACTCCAGTTCCCAAGGACAGCCATATATCCAGAACATGCACTTAGGCACCAAAGTGCTCCACATGGAAAGGCTGGGGAAGCCCCAAGGCAGTCGTATCCTGCTACAGCTCCACGCTCATTTTCAGGACTTTTGCTGGCTTCTCACTTCATCTCTGCTCTGTTCCAGTTCTGCAGCTCAGAGTTAATGTATCGATGCAAAGCCACCCAAAGCCATTTTCGGGTTTTTGTTGTTGTTGTTGGCTTTTTCTAGCTGTTCATGTTCCAGCGCTTGCGAGGCCTGGCTTCCATCCACCGACAACACATTCTTCACCATGACCCAAAACCCCAGAACTTGCTCATCGGTTGCCTTCACGAGCTCAAATTAGCCGACTTTGGTGAGTCACTGTTTGGAGACTGCTCATATATGTGTTCAGAGCTAAGCTTGGGCGTACCTATAGCTCTGTGTCCACAGCCAAACAAGGCATAGGGACATAACCTCTCACTGAACTTCAGGGAAGCATTTCCGTGGTCAGGCCAGTCTCCTTTACACTGGGAGATGCAGAGAGCATCACTGAAGTGATGACCATGTAAAAGCAGGACTCCTAAGTGCTGGGTGCTGGGGAGGAACAGCCTCCCAGGCCGCTCCTGCGGTTCAGGGCGCTGGCACCAAGGGAGCTCCCTGTTCCCACCGCCTGGGCAGCCAGATCTCATGGCACCTCTCCAGCTACTGCCCAGAGCACACACTCAGCCCCCCAAAACACCACAGTGTGACGGGCCAGGAGGAGCAGGAAAACGAAGGGGAGCACTGCCAGCTTCCAGCCCACCCTGCAAACCTCTCCCTCTGCAGCACTTTGTGCAGCCTCTTTGCTGGTCTGATATTTTGCAGTTTACAAGGCTGTCAAAGAAGGGTCCAACTCTGGTTGGACATGTACAAAGTCCCTTTGCAGAGCTGTATCTACTCTCAGGCCTTTTAACAGCGCCAAAGCAGCTTTCTTAAAGGCAAAGCCTGGGCAGTACAGAAAGRCCTCTCTAGCACAGTATTTGGATGCTCCAGGAAGGAGGATTTGCAACGGCCAGCAGGAAAGTTCCTCCCCTTCACTCTGCTGGGCATCGCAGGGCCATTTCCCTGGGCATTGCTAGGGGGTCTCCAGCACATTTCCTCTCCACCTTCCTGGAGGGACTTGCTGTGACTGGCTCTAAAACTCAGGATTTTTGGAAAGTCAAGGAAACAGCAACCACAGATGCCAGCTGAGGTATTACCTCCTTCTTCCTGTGTCTTTATCCCCATTTTGCTTGKGGAACAGAGGTGAAGAAATACCTTTTTCTTTCTTGAAGGGAAAATACCAATTTATCTTTTTATTAACTGTCTGAAGCTGTTGAGAAGTCTGTAAAGATCACAGCTGCCTACTTAATTTGAATAAGTAAGCAAAGTATTCAGAAGCATTTCGAAGATGCAGGATAACTACAGCTTATCCTAAGGAGTTAATAACATATAGTMCATTTGAATATAAAATTACAGATGTACACATACATATGTGCAGGTATCAGTCAAAATAGCTTTTCCTTCTCCTCCCTGCCCTGCAGGACAGGGCATATTGCTTGAGCCAACCCACCTCAAAGGTGTCCAGAGACACCAGCTCTGTCAACTGCTTGTAAACTGCATTGGGATTACTTCTGTTCAAAGGTGCAAGAGAAAATAATGTTCTATTTCCCATTATTTATATACATATATATAATATATAGTATCAGCAGGACCATYCTCTTTCAGTGTTCCACATTCTTTGTTCTGTCAAGCCTTGCTCATGCCAAGCCCATCCCCAGTCAAACATACTCCTCTGAAATGGGGAACRCTCTGGTACCACCCTCATGATGCGCTGCGTGGCACTACCAAATATCCATCTGACCTGGATATCTGGTAATGAATGGGCTGCAGGCTCTTGGGGAAAATCATCTTTAGATGAATTAAGTGAGTTCAACCACATTATAGTAAAGCTACTAAGTAGTGTAGTTAACATGTAGGATCATCTCAGCTATGGAATTACATAAATCTCATCTGCTAATCTGCTAATATTTATGAGATATAGAAGTCTCATTTGATAACATTTACGAATCACCCTCAGGTTTTAGATTAGAAGCACTTACCTTAATGCACTCATTGTTTTAGATTTACCTAGCTGGCTGTTCCAGGGTAGTTTTCTGCAGAGGGGACTTTGTGAAGAACCCGGGGGTGGAGGCTACCATGGGAGCAGGCAGCTCACAAACCATCAGCAGAACATCCTTGTTCTGGGCAGCTTTACATCTGCAAATTGTACCTCTGTTTCAACCCTTCTCCTCAAGCCTGTTAATTCTCCAACCAGGACTCTGCTTACCTGTTCCAGAGTCAAAAGCTGGGAACTGAGGGCAGCACAGCAGGCTAGAGAACAAGGTTGCGGAAAAGGGCAAGCAGATTTAAGAACAAGGCTATATATATATGTGTGTGTGTGTGTATATATATCTATATATATATATATATTTTTTTTCCTTGAAAGTAGCCTGTACTAGGCCCACAAAGCCTGGCATTTCTGGCTGTGCAGAGCCAATGTGACACGTACCACACAGCAACAGGGCACTGCTCTGCAGAGATGCCATCCAGCACTTGCAGCGAGCGGCCGCTGAACAGCATCGCACCGCAGGCACCTTTGTTATAGTGGCTCTCTATAATAACAACAKTCAGAGTGTTTGCCCTACAGAAAGATGTCCTGCTGAGAGGATAGAGATACTTCAGTGAGCTCTATTCAGTGGCTTCATCCAACAGGAGTCATTTATTATCTTGATGCACACTGCATTTAAGTTCAATTTTTTTCTATTAGGAAATAATGTGAATTCACACAGATGTTACTTGTCTGTAGGGAAGAAAGAAAAAAAAAAACTATTTCTTCTGGATGCTGCAATTTACATGAAGGCAGGTCAGAAAGCCCTTGGCAATGGCATGAGACAGTGGGTGTTAAAGCCTTGGTTTAAAGAAACCAATTATAACAAAATAAAACATTACGGCAATTCATGCATAGTGTGCTTGAGCAGCAATACTGTCAGTGGGAGGCACATGGGAAATGAATGAGGCCTTGAATAGATGAAGAGAGAGACAGRAGGAGACTCACTAGCTCTTGGACTAACTAGCAAAACCTCTTTAATCTTGCTGTATCTTTTCCCCCTCTCTCTCTTTTCTCCCTCACTGCCTCTTCGAGACTTTAGACGAGTCAATTAAGAGATTTCAGGGAGACTAACAGAATGTTTCAGTAAGATTACGCTCTGCATCAGGGAGATCTTTTTTTTTTTTTAAACAAAAAGTACTTTATGAATGTGCAGAGCTGATTTTCAGCAGATGCTAATGTCATGAGTGCCTTAAGTCAGCTCTTCTTTTCAGTCAAGCTTTCCTAGCATAATCTTCCAGGAACGTCCCGAGAATCTTCTTAGGTACTTTTGCATTGAATAACAATTCCTCARGAATGAAAAGAATGAGAGAAAAAGGGGAAAAAAAAGAAAAAATACAACAGTTCTAATGTTAGTCTAAATCTTGGAAATACTTAAAAGTAGAGGCTGTATTTTGAATAATCCTGGTTAAGAGCAGGATCCTTCCAGTACTATAAATTCCACACCTCAGAGAGAAAGTTGAGGCTTCTACAGAGAGACTGAAATGAGGGACCCAGAAGGCCTYGTTTTCAAAGTCCTACTTTAACAAACAGTCAAAAATACTTGCAAAAAGAGAGTTGTTCTGTCTCCTTCAGGCCTGTTTTTGTAAGGAAAAGTATATTTCATCCTGGAAAACACAGATGGTAACAGTCATGATTGCCACTGATGAATCAATACAGTAGCAAGCAGGCACTAAAGGCAGCTGGTCAGCTAAGCCTCACTGCAGGAAGCAAAAAGCCCTTCCTTTCCAGCAGTTGTGGTTGCTCTGATAGTTTTGTCTTTATTAGAGACCCAGAGGTTCAAAGGCTTTCAGAGATAATGGGAATAAACCATGAATACAAAAGAGAGCTCTATCGGAAGGTGAATTTGTAACAACCTAGAAGTTGTTCCTTTCCTTAGACTGACAGCTTGCCCATTAGTGAAAAGGCTGTTTCATTAGATTGGGATGTTTCAGCCCTTTGCCCTTGAGTAATTCTTAGCAAATGTGAGCTGAGTCTAGAAGAAAAGGCATCTAGGTCTTACTTCCATTTAAAGCCCTGTCTGGATTTTCGGCATTCTCAGCACTAATGGCAACCACAGCAGTTTGGGTTTCCTGTCACCGCATGAACCCTCCTGCCTTTCCRAGCAGTTTGGGTCATGAAGACCAGGGCACTTTCACTGTTACCAGCAGGGGAGATTCTCTAGCACCTCCGATGCCCAGGTCCTCCGGGACTTAAATTCCAGTTGGGAATAGGCACAGCCAGAACTGTACCTTAGAAAAACCTCTACAGAAGGTCTAGTTGTGGCTGTCTCATTTGAGGGCTGCCCAGAATCCACAGGACGGTTCTGCAGCAGCTGCTGTTTCCCATTAACTGGCCATTCCCAGTTAGTTTTGGACCCAAACGGTGGGCAAACCTTAGCACCATTTGCTCCAAAACCACACAGAATTGCTCCTCAGTACAAATCAGGAGTGTCTACATGAAGCAGTATGCAGTCAAACTTGAGCAAGGACATCAGGGGATTACAGCAGCATATGTGGTTGCAAAACAGGGTGAGCCATTTGGGCATGGACATCAGCTGTGAAAACACAGGGTTGATAGGACACTGCTCTCAGTAGAGTGGGCTCCAAAATAACTGATGTGCTAGTGCTATGAAACACAAATCTCTGTTGCAAAAGCTGTGAGTGAAGTTTCCTGATACATGGCCCTGCCAGAACATATCATAAAAATAAGGATCAAAGCTCACAAGACCCAGGGCTTGTACGTGAAGCTAAGGGAAAGCAGAGATGTTTGCGAAAACAGAATTGGATACGGATCTGGAAATAGACTTGGCATCATCAGATCCATGAGGATGACCAAAATGACCACCACAGCTGAGCTGCATGTCAGGCTTTCCACTGGGCACAGCCAGATAGGAAAAGCAGCTTCAGGATTGCAAAAAAGCCTCCAGGACATTAGAGATAAGATATCAGTGCAGATGAACAGATGACATCACTAGTAACAGCACAACACGTGAAAATAATTCTTCAGAGTCTGTTAGAGAGGGCTGAATCACCAACATTTCAACCTAAAGGACTCAAATCTCTTATACCCGAAGAGTCAACCTAAAGCCTGAGGAGCAGAGATGGGGATATAGTAAAATGACAGAAAACCCAGAAATTTGTAGTGAAGAAAAGTGAAAAAGTTAAACAGCGAATGAGCAAAGTTTTACACCATACACTAARCCATTGAAATTCTTGCAAATAGATAAGCCTGCCCTGGCCACAACTATCTCATCATTATTGCCACCTGGACTAACCCCTCGTAATAAAATAAAGTATTTTGTAAGTAAATTTTTTAAGTCTTGGTTTGCCTTGGCACAAGCACAGGGCTGGGGACAGAGTAAAATTGGATTACTTCCATGTGGTGTTGCCACTAGTTTCTTTATACTGTGAAATCTTACCCATTGTTTTGCAGTGAAGAGCCAATTGCTTCTAAAGGAAAAATCTCTTCAGTGGTCGGTGTCTCTGCATCTATTGTAGCTAATATATTGTGTAGTAGCTCCCTGCTTATTATCCTGATTGTTACCAAACACATTTTGCATCTTYGTCTCCTGGAAAAAATATTCCACAGGCTCCTACCTTGACTGTCTTTTTTGGATCGGTTTGTAACAAAACAAGTTGAAAGAGAAACAAATCCTTTTGGTGATGGAGAAAAGACAGAGCTTTGATTATTCTATTTTAAAATATTTATCTGCGATGGACACGAATRTGATCTCTAGCCTGTTGCTGCCCAATTTTACTTACCACCTTTTTAGGTCAAGTATTTCAGTGTGTAGGACTGGGATCAAGTTTTTGTTGACTCCATCCAGTCTGCGACAAGGAGCAGGGGCAAATGCACAGGAAAGGATTGCCAGAGCAGTGCTGTGTAGCATGTTCCTTCCCCTAGGGAAGCCTTCCTGACTTCCCAGGGTTTGCTCACCCTGTACCCCGGCTACCACCATACTGCAGCGGTACAGCAGCCTTCACTTCAGCCTGTATTTTTATATATATGTGTATATATATATATGTCCTGCCCTGCTATCCCTCAGCTCACTCCCCTAGATGAAATGGAGGGGCATTCATCACCTACGGCTGAAAACATATGGACACGATCCAGCCTGTATCTGGATTTCTGAAGCTGCAAATCAGGATTTCTGAATTTCTATTCCCAAAACTGCTACCTCGTTGGCTTCCCTCACGTTGCACCTGTGAATGAGCAAATACCTTGGGTTTCCCGCACGAGTGCAGGCTGCCTATTTGTGGAAATGATCCAGGGCCAGCCAAAATTTGCAGGAACTTCTGGTGCTCTCGAACAACTGGAGAACATCTGGGAGGTGAGTTAAATATACCTGAAATGCGAGAGAAAAAAAGCTGTTGCTCCAGTCCCCTATTAAATTTTGAAGTCCTGAGCATAGGTTTTATGAACAGCAGAAATAAATTGGTCCAAGCTGCCAAGTTTATAGCAGACTTTGCAACCATCTTACATTTGGTAACTTTTTTTTTTTTTTTTTTCCAGACACAGGAGTAAATCAAATGACTTTCCTTTGATGTTTGTCATCTCATCAAAAATTTAAAGCCAATTACAGTGACATCAAATTGAAGAAGGCATACAAGGTGTGCAGGTACTGCAAATTCTGCTGCTCCTGGTTAACTCCCTAACTTACTGCAGGATGCAGCACACACCGCACGCTCACAGAGAAGTGCTAGCACTGCCCTCCGTCTGCCTTGGGCCTTTTTTAAAAAGGGCCAAGTCCTTTTTTATTTTAACTCCTGAGATACTCAGGAGCCTCCTAAGCTGTTTTTGTGCTGGGAAAAGTGAGCAGCCCTCAGTGCTGGGGGGGTAAAGCTAAGGCTGAAGGTGCACGTGTTGAAAAGACAAAGCAACACTTCTGTGAACCTCAGCGTTATTCGCCTCGAGTTCAGCCTGTTTAAATAAATGCTGAATTTCTCTTTCATAGAAAGTGAAAAAAATGAATTACCGAGAAAAAATAAACATCCCTCCTTGGCCAATTAAGAGGGTTCAAAGTGAGGGCAGGGCACGGTCTTTCAGCGTGTGAATGAAGGGTATCCTTCCCCTCGCGGCTCGGAAATCTCCCGATACGTTTCCTGTGGTTTGGCAGTTGGAGGGTTATAGCCCTAGCTGATACCGTGATTAATAGGCTTTGTGCTATGGAAGGCAAAGAAACTTGTTTAAAAATCATGAGGAAGCTTTAAGAGCCATGAAATAATCAGTGMCTTCACAGAAGGTTTTATGTTATTATGCAGCCTGCAATGAGGCTCTGTGTTCAGCCAAGATTTCAAAGCTCCTCGAGGATTTCAGTGCCTAACCCGAGGTACTCTGCACACTGTGAGGCTCAGAGTGGGAATTCCTGCTTTTTTTCCTAATAGGCAGGGTTTGTTTTTTCATGTAGCAACACCACAGGGCAGCCCATGCCGGGTCCAAGCCGGCTGCATCTCTGTGTGATTCTGGTGATTCTGCTGCTCATCTCCAGTTGGTGAGGTCAGCTCAGGCAAGCATGGATATACAGCTGGCAAAATCCAACCCCAAATGATGAGATGTGTTGATGCTGTTGAATCATATATGATGCTGCCACACTTCTTTTAGAGGCAAGTGCCACTTTAAGCAATCTCCAAGCGCCCTCTCCAGCCCCTTACCCAAACCTGCCCAGTGTCATCCTGCCTTGGAGGTAGGGCTATGTCCAAGAGGGAACCGTTTTTTCTCCCTGGATTACTTACAGGAGACCAGTTTACTCACCTGGTCCACCGTGTGGCTGTGCAAGCAGTGGCATCAGTACTAGTGAAGGGATGTCAGAGGACCAGGATGGGAAGGGKGTGAAGAAGAAGGTACTTGGGCCAACAGTGCTGCCTATGATGGTCTGGCCTGAGTGAAAGAAGAGCGAGTACAGAGCAACTCTTCTGCTCTGCTTCATTTCATAGCCCAGAACAGGACCTAGGGTTAACACACAACAGAGGAAACAATACCCACAATATTATTAAGTTAAATAAATACAACTCATTCTCCAGTTTGGCATGAAAGCTCATTAWGGCTCCAGAACAACCACCCCTGCCCAACCACCTCGTAAATGCAAAACCAGGTCCAAACGCACGTTCTGGAAAAGCATTCAGTAAAGAGAAGGCTCAGAGCATAGAAATGCACCTCCCCATGGCCCTGGACCCTGCAGCTCCCGTGGCAGCCAGGGGATGCGCCAGTGCCAGGGCTGCTTCCCCCAGGGAGCTCCAGGTACCGGAGCTGCTCTCCTGCTTGCTCCGGGAGAGGGAAGGCACCAGCGAGCGGGGAAGGTCCCAGCCAGCTCCACCACTGCTCTTTAGGGCACGTCTTTCATGACACCAAGGTTTCTGCACTGTCATTGCGAGCTTCTGCGGGGCCTATTCCTTGTATCACAGCATCTCAGCTTTCATTTGGAGGAAAAGGAACTGTCTCACCTCCGCAAAGCATAACTTGTGCGAGACAAATCCAATGCTGAAGAATGAATAAAAAGCCCTAACACTGTTTGTATTCACATTCCTTTTTGTGTGTTTTTGAGTCAGTCTGGTTATGTGGGGAATTACCTGAGTGAGCCCGACTGCCCCAGCCTCACACCAGCACAGGCTGCTGCTGCACGTGCTGCTCTTCTTGCTCCCTTCCTTGTTTYACACAGAGGTCCTGGGGGTCCCAACCGAGGACACCTGGCCAGGACTTGACGAGCTCCCCAACTATAAGCCAGATAGGACTCAACTCACCAGAGCATCACCTTTTTCTTGGAGGTACCAAGCATTCAGCTATTTTTGAATCAGTAATTCTCACTGAAAAAAAAAAATCTGTGCTTTTTCAACATTATGAAACATAACATGTTTTGCTGCTAGCAAATCCCTTGAGCTAAGTGATAAAAATAGTGCTGTTGTAGGAGTGATGGACTAGGATGGAAGCAGAGATACGGGCCTGCCAAAACTCCCTCCCTGACAGCCAGATACCCCATGGGCTCATGGAAGATGTCACTGCTCCAAACACTAACAGTTAAGCTGGTCTCCACTCCTCTCAGTAAAGGACCAATGTCTCCTGCTTCAGCCTGGAAAAGGTGGCAGGTTCCTGGAGATACAGTTTATCTGAATTCTCTTTATTCTCATGGAGATTGGCTTGAGGGCCTTTAAACCTCATTTTTAAAGGTCACTGTCCCTGATTTGGATGTRGGCAAGGTGAGAAATCTGTGTGATTTATAAAGGTGGCTTCTTTTATTTCCACATGGGCTGGTAAGGAAGCCAGTGTCCTGGACTTCAAAGGGCCAGTTGTCTCTTATTTTGATGTGGGCAGGTTGAGAAGTATGCTTTGAAAAGCAAGCCCAGTCACTCTGTCTCACTCTGTCTTCCCCCGCCAGCCCCCTCTCTCTCTCTCTCTCCCTTTTTGTTTAATGTTTTCTCCTGGGAAAATAGATTCAAGTGTCATTGAGGGGGAAATGATGAGCACTGATTCTCAGCCTCGCAGCAGGATCATTCTCTACGAGAAATATAAAAGTGAAATATTAAAAACCCTCGAATGAGAAACCCATCCATCTGCAATCTAGCCATTCTGCCTCACTTGTACCCTAGGAGAGGGGTGGGGGGATTGCCCTCTATCTGGAAGGGGGAAAGAAAAGAGCAGGGGGCAGAGGAGGAGGGAAAAGAAGTGCTTTGAGCAGGAGGTTTACAGGTTTAGTAGAGCATAGTAACATCTTTTCAAAGAAGTGGGTGTTGCTCTGTGACCCAGTCCAAGATGCCCCTCCTTTGATTCTGGTGCGCGAACACTAAACATCCCCCATTTTCACATGGTAGCCGCCAGGGGCTGAACAATAACCCGCTCTTGCAGCCGCGAGGGCTGGAATCCCGCACACAATTAGCTGAGACACATTCATCAGGCCAGCGTGAAATGGGAATGTGCCGCTGTGCGCAGCAAGCTGGATTTGAATCCAGCCAGGATTTGAATCCAGCCAGGATCAGGCCAGGAGCAAGCGCAAGCGGGCAGCGCGGGGAGCACGTTTCCCTCCAAGCACGGCCAGCGCGGCCGGCTCCTCCACAAGCGCCACGCGGGCGCTCTGCAAGGGCAGGAGATGCTCAAGTAGGGGGCAAATCATTCCCAAATAATCCCTTTGAGACAAGTCATCCGCTGGCACAAGGCCAGGCTCTCCACACGGATGGGGAATAGGTCTCCGGGACACGGTATGGGGCAGGAGCGGGCGCGAGCGTGGCGCTCATGAAGAGAGGGGCGCAGGCAGCACACAGCACCCTGAGCGCCCCGAGCGGCCGCCGCGGAGGGAGCCGGCGGCTGGCAGGGAAGTGGCACAGACCCGGGTGGGCACCACAAGCTCCGCTCAAGCTGAGCTGCTGCACAGAAGGTTTCCCTGCGCACGCAAGCGGGGCAGGGTGACCGCTGCAGGACTGGGATCGCGCCACGCCGGCAGCCTCCGTGGCTTCCCGCACTGGTCAGGAGCTTATTCAGGCCGGGTTTTGGAGGCTCTGCCAGTGGGAAGGCAAATCAGTCTGTTTGAAGCTCTGCCGTTTACGCTCTCCTGGGCACTTCCCCTCCCCAGAGCACAAACTCCAGGGATTCCTCAGCCCAAGAGGCAGCTGTGGGGCCTGCCTGGGAACCCCTTTAWCCCTGAGAGCGTTTCCAGCCCAACTGTGCGAATCCAAGTGCCTGGGATGGTTCCAGCAAACAAACCTCCTCACGCTTTCCCAAATCCGATGGCTGCAGCGCTTTTAGCTGGTCCCCTTGATGTTCACAGGAGCACAGGCAGCAAACAAACAAACAGGTTTGTGCCCGAGGCGGAGAGAGAACACAGCACGAAACAAAGCGCCSAGGTGTGATCCTATTCTCCTTGAAGTTGATGGCAAAACTCCCCCTGGATTCAGCAGTGTCGGCTCGGCTCCACATCGAGGTTGTTACTGGAAGGGTTCCTGGGCCAGGCGGGTTCGGAGGAATCTTTGAAACGAAAGCTGGAAGCCTTTGGATGTTTGTGTGTCGCTTCCATGGGCACATCCTGCTGCAAGCTCCGAAGGGGAGATCCCGCGTGGGGCAGAGCRGCTCCCTGGCCCTGCCGAGGCACCTGGCACGGTGAGCAGGGAGGACGGTCAAGCCGCTCATCCCTGCCCAGCTCCAYGGCCATCTCCCCGTCTCTCCAGGAGAGCCATGTTCCAAAGCGAATTACACACAAGCGAGGAGCCAAGAGCAGAGCCTCAGCCGGCGCCGGCTCCAGGGCCAGCTCCTGAGGGACATCCCGGCCCCGGCACAGCCCTGCCTGCCGCGCGACGCCTGGCCCCGCGCTTGCTCATTTGTTCTGCTCCCCTCATTCTGCTTCCCCTCCAAGCGGCACTTGGAGCTCTGTTAACACTATTTTTGAAAGCTCTCATGCTGTGTGAGCTCAAATCCTTGCATTAATCTACTGCTGTGTTCATTTCACTGCGCTGAAAAGCAGGGAGTTTAAATCCTCTCTAAACACCGCTGGTGACACCAGAAGGCCAATGTCTTGATCCAGTCCCATTAGTGGTTACAAGTTTGAATCTAGACAGCAGGGGTTAAGGGCAGGAAAGGAATTGGACTCGCAGCCCATGACACGAAGCCAGAGCCTTCGGCTGGGRACACTGGAAGGCCCGATGCCTCGAGTCCTTTCGTGTCTCCTCTTTGCTGACATCTGGATTCCAAAAAGCACAGATTTGGTTTTCAGTGACATGCTGGGAACTTGTGACGAGCGAGCCCTAGCTTGCTGCGAGCACGCTCCGCTCCTCGATGGGCTGCACGGGCTGGCCCGCGTGGCTTCCCACAGCAGCTCCCAGCGTTTCATTCAGCAGGCACGAGCTGTACGCTTGTCTTTTTCAGATGCAGCAATGRATTTTAAAATGAGCTCCATTTTTCAGATGTCTGTGGCTTTGCTATGATGAGTGAATCTGGACAGCTTTCCATGGCCAACTTTTCCTCACGAGCACAAGAGTTTCAGTCTCATTTGCTTTTCCAAGGTGCCACCAGCAGATGGAGGCAACAAGCAGCAGGCCCAGGGCATAAACCAGGAATGACATTTGGGAGACTACAGATCAAGTCTGAACTCTTAAGTGCTGATTTTTTATCTCACTTTTTATGGTGATGCTTCACTGAACAAATGGGAAACTGAAATCTCCAATGATGAAATCTTCATTGTTGCCATGAACTGCACATGGCTTCGATCCCGACGGGAAAAGCAGCATTAACCCCTGCGCAGCGTCAGCTGGCCGGGATGCAGGGAAGCTCCGTGTGGGCCTGGCAGCGGGCACGGACACAGGCTGGATCCTGCCCCGCGGATGGGGCTCCACAGAGGTTTCCCTAATGAGAGGAATTGAGGAGCCTGGAGCTGCTGCCTCCCCCTGGCAGCACTTGGCATCCTCCTTCCCGCTCTTCATCAATTAGGAAAGTTTAACATTTGTCCTCTGGCTCGCTTGCCTTATTAGCAGTTCATTAGCTATTTCCACCTGGGTTTTGGTGCAGGAAGGTATTTCCTCATTAGCACACCCTGCATTGCATGATAGGAGATAACAAACCCAGCCGCTGCCTCTCGCATCTGCTCGCACTGCTCAAAAAGCCATCAGCCCCGCGCAATCCCATCGTTTTATGTGTGTATCATCACGGCACGAGGATTAAATCAGCAGTTTAGCCACTTTGAGGAATGATAGCCAAATATGCTTTATCTTACCTTTAAAGAGGAACCGTTTAYATTGTTTTACAATTTTAGATCGGTCTCAATCTTTACAGTAGGGAAATATTTACTGGTCTGTTCTTACCTCCTCAACACAATGAGGCCTCATAAATCGCTGTGGGTTTGTCTCCACGGGATCAGGCAGGAGATTAATCTGAACTGATTTAAAGTGGATTAGTTAACTGCATTAAACCCTTGAGTAGAGACACAGTGTTTTCTTACCCATATCTTCCATTTATCATCAAAGCTCTGCATACGCAGTGGCAGGTTTGGCGGCCCTCGCTCAAGCAGAATTGAGAGCTTGTTTACACAGGGACAGCACTCGTTGGTTCACTGACTCTTGCACTGCCCTTGCAAATAATTATTAATTTCCCTGTTTTATAAATGACAAATTAAAGTCAGAGGCTTAGTCAAGATCATAGGGAAGATAATAATTCAATATTCCTCCCAGTTCACAGTAAGCAAATTGTTATCTCTAGCTATAACATAAAAAAAATCCTGTTTTTTCTTTATGATGTTAATCTTGCAAATGTATTTCACAAAACAAGACGACATTTCATTCAGACAAAATTGAGATATTTTGCTTTGATGTTGTCAGCTGAGCTTCCATTTTTTAATTTCTATATTTAACTCATTAAAGAATGTTAACGATAGAAGTTTTCAATAGAGTTAAACTCTGATGCTGAAGTCACCTTGACATTTTTATTAAATATTAAAGGAAACTGATATATTGCCATGGMATGGGTCCATCTCATTGAATGAAATTTTTCTGGCAGAAAGTTGCAGTCTCTGGAAGTTTTTGGCCAGCTCTGCTGAGAAGTAAAAAATTTTACCTCATACAAAAAAATGTTATACCTTTCCAAACTATTTTAAAAAAATGTTTTGCTTTTATTCCTCCTGGAAACATTATGTCTCTACTCAATATGGACGATTTATTTCCACACATATATTAGAGCTGAGGAGAAAAAAAAGATGGAAGGAGGATCCAGAGAAAATGCTAACAAGGATCCAAGAGGAATCTGCTGCCAGAGTTCATCTCCGTGATTGATTTGGGGAGGGAGCTATTTGAGACACTGCTCTACCAAAGCCCATATATCTGTGGTATTTACAGAGCTCTAGCACCAAGCAGTCACGAATCCCAATCGGTGTTTTCATCGAGGCTGAAGAATTAGCTGATCTGGTACCATAAGGATCCTCTCTATCCATTCCGTATGGTTGGGTTTTGTTGTAAAACCAGGATCTGGCTTTATAACACCCTAGGGTGCCATGAGAGGGACACTCCCAAGCCAGTGGGATTGGTACCAGTTTGATACCTGTCCATTTATTCACATTTCTGCCTAGGCTTCCTAAAGAGCACAGACCACCATCCACATCATCTGCATTTCTCCTTCTGCTTCCCTTCCACCCTCCAACACCTTTGGKGCCTACTGATGGATCGAACAAATGATCTGAGATGTGGCTGTTACCCAGGCAGTTGTACCACCAGGGTTTATGAATCCTATCTATAGTTTTGCAAAGAGTGAAGTCCCCTTCTCAATAGGGAAGGCCTGAGCAGGGCTAGTCCTCTGTGAGGTTCAGCTTATGCTGTATTGCCCAGAAATCATCCTGTGGTTTGCAGGAAAATGTCTATTAATCACTGTAAGGGGAGTCTTCCAGGATCATGCCATTATATTTTTAAATAAGCTCAAGCAACCTCATGTTTTATAAGAAAAGTTTTCAAGTAAATTCTTCTCTGTATCTCCCCTAATGTTTAGAAACATGTCCTTTAAACACATCAACAACAACGTGCCCTGCAAAGCCTGCAAAGCCTGCRCAGATCCAGCCTGCTGAATCACTACAGCATGTCCAAAGCAGGTCACTTTTAGGGAGGGAATGACCGCAAAAACCRTGGGCGAAACGGAGTGGGATCCAGGCGCTTTGCTCTCCCGCCAGCCCTTCCTTGGGGACCGATGCTGCTTTTATAGAMGGCGAGGACTGAAATGCCACCGAAGCCACCCCGAGGCCCACAGGCGAGGGGAAGGAAAGGGTTACAGAGCAGCACGAGCCTTGTTAGTAACATCAGTGCTGCTACTCAGGTCCTATAGGAATATAGGAATAATGTATATTTATAAATACTAAGATGACAGATTCTATAGGGCCCTTTGAAATTCTGAGCATATGTCTTCGTAAGGGCWCCAAGAATGGTTGTTGGCTTGATTCGTGTTTAATGCTGTGATTGCATATTAAAGTTTGCAGGGCTGGTTGTGTCCAGGAGAGCTCCGAGGCTCCGAGTGCCACGTGGCAGGTGAGCTACCTGGAGCTGCGGTGTCAGGACGGCCTCTGGGCTCACTTGCTTCCTTGTGCAGTCATCTCACTCGAAATGAGCTCTTTTGGCAAGTTCAGAAAGAGCGAGGTGTAAGCAGATCTAAGGGCAGTTAAGCAGTGGATTCTGAGTGGAGGAAAGCACATAGTGGGTTTATTATTCCCAGAGGAGCCGTGATTATTCCCAGATAAGCGGTGACTCAGTGACACCGTGCGGAGCTTTTGGAGGCGCACGGTTTGATTCAGAAGATGGTGCTTTCCCAGGCCCTCTTGCACAGGCTCCAGACAGACTTTGTGCTACCCTGGTTTTCATTTCTATCAAAAATGCCAAGGGGTACACGCTAGGACAGCCTTTATGCAAGAAAATGCCATAATCCCGGGGTTGGGTAGGATGGGGAAATCCACATTCTCCCGTAGCCCAACGCTACAAGACCAGGGACGTGATTAAGCACCTCAGCCTGAGAACGCCAGTACCCCTCAAATACTTCCCAGTGTACTGTGACAGAGGGGCTTGCAAGCATTAACATATATATATATATATATATATACTCACACGTGTGTGTATATAGATACACGTGTACAAACGTATCTGTGAAGGGAACAGCACATCTCCAACCCAGATGACAGGGACCCTGCGAGAGAATGGACCCTCTCTCATTCTGAACAAAGAAAGAAGTGTGCTCCTTGACACCCTGCCATATCCCCCTCCTGCTTCCCACTATTCCCCCTTGCCAGGCGCCGTGACGTCCCGAGGCTGGGGGGCAGCGAGGGCCAGCACAGCGGGCCCTGCTCCGCGCGGCCTCCTGAGGCTGCAACGCGARCAAACAAACAAAATAAGAGCTGTAAAGCTAAATGACCATTTTATTTGTTTGCTCGCCGGCTTGGTTGCTGCCTTCCGCTTCCCYGGCCCCAGCTGTTGCTCCTCCAGGAGGCAGGCGCTTGGCAGCAAGCACTTGCTGGACACGCAGCACATGTCTCGTGTGGATTTCCAACCCTGCTGCAGCCCATTTGCACTCCTGYTACACGGGTAGGATATGGAGATGGGTATTTCACTCAGCTGCTTAATTTTGAGCTCCCACCTGCGCACTTGCACTTCCCACTCTAAATCCATAGCACTAACGGCTGATACTCCAGTTAYGGCACGTGTAGCATCATCCTCCCAGGGGTCTCTAGGAGCCTCTTTCCTTTTACTCGTGACCTTCTCTTTACAAAATAACAACTCATCATCAAATTTCCTCTGAAGAGATGAGCCTGTACACTCCGCTTGTATACTCCAAGCCTGTACACTCCAAGCTCACATGGCAAAGCAAATGCCCTGTACAACTGCTCTATCTGGGGTGGCTTACTCAAATGCCCCGTGTCCTGCACTGCCCGTTTCCTGTTCCACAAAGGTTCCAGCTCAGCCCTGGCTTTCTGGCTTGCACTCCTCTCTCGTGCTCTCCTTCCTCCCGCTCTTCCAGGCCGGGCAGGGTGCTGGCTGCGCAGGGCCTGGCCCCCCGGCAGCTCCATGCAGGGGTGCTCTGCAAGGGGGAGATGCTCTGCAAGGGGCTCCCCTCTGCCTGCGGGGTCCTGCAGCCCCACACGCCTTCCTCACGCAGCCTTCACTTCAGCATTCCTGACATCTACCTGCGCTCCTCTTCTCCGCRGTTCCCCCAGCCCTCCAAGCGAGCGGCAAAGTTCACATCCTGCTGCAAATCGCAGAGCCCGCTTTCCTGTTTTCCTTGGCTTGACCCCTGCGCTAGCAGCGGAAGGGGACAGCGCAGCCCCACGGAGCTGGGGAGCGTGGGCCCCGAGGGGCGCGCGGGGCCTCCCTCCCGCGCTGCGCCCCGGGGCCCCAAGGCAGCCCGGGGGCCTCCCGGGCACCCGCTCCACTACTCGCTTGTTTTGCCTAACACAGTAGCAATTAAGACAAACCTTCCCGGCCGTGTTGTCAAGCTGTTTGAAAACTTAATTCCGGCGTCTCTGACACATCCCAAGCGGAGGAGCAGGCGGCGGGCGCCTCTCCCAAACTGCCACCCCTCGGAGGGTGCTCGGCGCGCGCGACCGAGAGGCATCTGCATTCCCTTTCTGTTCACCCAGCCACGGAGCACAAATCTGCTTTGACACTTTTAGAGAAATGAAAAGCTGGAATCTCGCAGGAGCTGCCTGTGCCGGTGGGGGGAGGAGGGGAGCACGCACAGCAGGAGGGAAGTTGACTTTTCTTTATACATATAGGGTTTTTTCCATGCAGAGTTTAAATTATGCCTGATAAAAGGAGTTTCGTGGATGTTTCAGTTCTTTCAAACCCTCCTGGCTTCCTCCCAATTAAATGAGGTTTGTCAAAGCCACAGGGCTCTGCTGCTGCCGGAGAGGCGGACAAGCACTTCCCGCAGTGACATCTCCAATCCCCAAGGGAGAAGATGAAAGTGTCAGTGCCAAGAGAGAGAGAGAGAGTGTGGAAAAAAACAGGTACAGAGACAGGCAGTGTGAGAGCAAGGGAGCGAGTGGGGAGAAAGAGAAGGAACGAGAAAACAGATTGGCATCATGTGTCAACCCCCCCGACACATTTCCAGAGAGGGGACGGGTTCATTTCACCTGGGTTTATCCCCCATCCCGTGTTTATTATCCGTGCCGGGTGGACACGGAGCTGCTTGGCGTTATCATGGCAACCGACGTGTTGGGAACAGAATCCAAGCGTGCCGGGCTGGAGCGAGTGCAGTACCGTCGTGCAAGATCGTGTCCAGGAGCCACTCATTAGGCCTGTGAAAATGGGGCAGTTGTGAGTAATTCTGCATGTAGCCACCCCTATCACCCTTACTGGGTAGGACATTTTTTCTCCTGACTCATTTTGGCATCGCAGCACTTTGGAATTTAAGTGCATTATTTTAAAATTCCGGTTGCTCTGATAGCCTGGTGCAGATCCGAGGGGTATTGTGCCCTGTGCTGTTCAGGGGTGCTGTCTGGCAGCTGCCATCCTTGGAGAGCTAACACAGAAGGGCACAGGATGAGCTGGAGATGAGAGGTGGAAGGAAGGGGGGTGATCTCAAGGTGTGTGAGAGGGGCAAACAACACCTGAAGAAATAAAAGGTGCCCGTCAGAAATTACCTTCTGTTTTTATAAAATAACCGTAGCAAGAACGTCCTTGTTACAAGTTGCTGTGACAAGTTGGAAGCCAGAGGAAATTTTTCAAAGGTCAATTCCCTGGCAAAAAATAATTGGGGAAATGAGTGTTTCCAAAACACGAACACCTCCAAGCAGCATCTTCCTGGCTGTGGAGGGCAATGCTGATGGCCAGATCCTGGCAGCAGTGTCCCAGCACGGGAGCAGCTCCTGCCTTTCTGCRCCCTACGCAGGAAGTTAGCTATAAACTGAATTTCTTTTCCATCTCCTTTGCCCTCAAATGCTCTGGAGTAGCTCCCTGGTGGGGGGCCTGAGCAGTGTGAGCACTCATGGGTTGGCACCAGCCAGCAGCCGAGGCTGCCCCACACAAGCCCCTGGGCAGGCGTCGGGCTGGGGCGGCCGGTGCCGTAGGAGCTGTGTCCTGTCTGGGGACACGGGACACAGGCAAGGCAGGAAAGGAAGGCAAGGGAAGGAGTTTCCTTTGCTCCTTCCCCGGCTCTTGCGAAAGCAGAACAGGCACTGAGTTTGGCCCACATGACTTGTGGAAACAAAGTCCTACAGACATGGAGAAAATGCTCTGATTGCCTTGATCTAAGGCCAGGGAGTCTCTAAAAAGGTCCTATTGTTCTGGGAGATGAACTGCTCYGGTGGGGAATGCTCTTAATGCCCCGCAAGGAGGCAGGCTCTATCACATCAGAGGTTAGCAGACATTTTTCCCTATTTTGTCTCCTGCAAAATTCTGTCTGAGGCTCCTTTATCTTCCACTTCCCCCTTAAGACTCTTAAATGCAAATGCAAGATGATTTAGTTGTCTTGTTTGCTGCGGAAGACAGCCGGACTGGAACTCCCATGTAGTCACTTCCCATCCTTGGGTGCACTTCTGCCRTCAGAAAAGAGCAAATGGGGCTGCAGTGATCAGATTTCTAAGGCACAAAAGTTAAAGCTAAGTTTGAGACAGTGACAGCAAACAGCCATGAGCCTGGGAACTCAATTAGCCTGAAAGACAACTATCTCATTATCTTTCCTAAAATGATATAAATACATAAGAATATAAAATTTTAAAATAAACTCTCTCTCTATTGACTGTCTAGATGACTGAATTTCACTGCTCAATTTCTTTAAACACCCACTTTAGTATTTATTTATTCTAAGCGTGAAGCAGCTCCGATAATTAGACTGTCAGATTTCGTAAGTTAATGAGGAGTCACTGGAGTGGAAGGTTTTGCATTTGTGAGCTCGCTGAAGGAGAGGAGCTCTGTGCCTTCGCGCCGTCTCTTTTTTCTTACGCTTTTTTTCCCCCTCCACTGGCTGGGAAGGAGAGAGCTTGGCAGTGCACAGATCCATTTGAATCCTTTTGATTAGCGGCTTGCATTCCCACCACTGTTCTACCAAATAATGTTTTGCTGGTTGCTCCAAGAAAAAGAAAAAAAAAGGAGAGAAACCATAGGTTASATTTCTAGAGAAGGAAGCCTAGATTAAAGAAATCCTCTTCCAAAAAAACCCAGAGGGAGTGGAGCGGTGAGAAATGAGATCCTCAATTAGTTTATGTGGTGGGGAATGTCACAGGAGAGCATGAGGAAAGCGGCACAGAGAAGGAAAAGGAGAGAACGGCAGCTCTTCCTTTAGCCTGGTTTCTCCACAGTGCCGGCAGAGYGGCTGGAAACCAAGGTCTGAGACCTGTTTGCTTCTTAGCAGAAAGGCCACCCCTCAGGAAGCTCCACATGTTTTGGTAGACACCAGGAATGGCYGAGTGCCTCTTAGGTGACTATTTTGTTGCCACTGTCAACGCTGGTGCCRTTACAGAGCCCAGGAATCCCTTGTGCATTAGTGGTGGGAGAAGAGAACAGGCACCCTGGCCTGCATCACCACATCCCAGGCTGGGGACTCAG